CCCCTAAGCCAACAGAGACCCCTCTTTGCACAGGCTTCACCTCTTTTTGGGGTTGGGAAGTGCCAAGGCTTCTCAGAAAAGAGGGGAAAAAACTGGAGGGGCATTTTGCTTTTGGAAGTAGGGCTGGACACGCTGCATGTTGGAAGTCAGGTCTCCGGGGCGCAGCTCTGCAGTAGTAGGTTCACGCCCATCAAATGTCAAAAAGGGGAACAGCTGAGAGCACGGGTGTCAGGGGGTCCCGGGCACTGTTTTACCTCCTCCACGTGCGGTCCAGTGCCCCCTCCCCTTCAGAGATGACTCGTGGAGGTAACCAACTCTGGTTTTCTCTCCTCACGGAGGATCGCTGCCACTGAGTCCTCCTGACACGTGGGGACCCCGTGCGCATACCCTAACAGAAGGCGGAGCAACCTGGTTCGCTCCATCTGGTCAGCTGTGAATTGGACCTTGGATTCTTAGAGCTTCACGGGCTGGTTTTGGGAAGCAGATCACCGGCCTCGGAATCCGTTCAAAACCTTAACACTGAAGCCCCACTGACAGATGGGTGGATGGTTATGCACGAGGTACAATGCCTGGGAATCGAACCTGGGTCTCCTACATACATGACAGTCACTGTGCCATTGACCCACTACAACCCCTAGACCAGAGGCTGCAGAGTGTGGAACCACAAGGTTCCTTTCTCCTTGTCACAGTGCGGGCAGAGGAGGTGACCACAGCCTTTCACGGGTAACCCAGCTCCTTCTTACAGAACAAAACTCCATCCACGTTGAAAATGCTGTACTTGGGGGAGCAAACAGCCCCCACTGGGTGAACAGGAGGTGAAAACACAAACCCCTTCCGCTTCCCCACACCCCACAGTCCTGTCCCCCGACATAAGATGCTCAGTGGAGCCAAGAGGTGAAGGTCTTGTTTATTGTTGCTGCGACTTTTACAGACAGTAGCGTTCCGTTAAATAAAGGGAGCTAGCACGTTAAATACACACAACCCCACCCCGACGACCGAGGCCAGGCGACAGAGGAGGGGAGGGTCCGGCCCACGGCCAGCACGCCCAACGGGGGCCATTTGCTGGGAGTGCGGGGCCAACATTCCGGGCTCACGGGGATATATATCTTATTTATAGATTTATTTATATTTTTATATATAGAGATCATTGAGTTCTGTGTATACAAAGAACAATATTGTTAGAAATACAATACTATACTTCTCCCGATGCTTTACAATAAGCTCTAATCCACCCTCTTTACACACGTTCACACTCTCAGTGCTGTGCCAAGTGTGGTGGGGTTCGGCTCCCAGATCCTCACACGCTGCCTGGGGGGTGGGTGGGTGGAGAAAACGGAGATCATGTGCTCAGGTGAACCCGACCAGGGAAGGTGGGGACAGAGGTGACACACGCAGACAGGTGGCCTTGTGGACGCGGATGGGGCAGGTGTGTGTAAACATTGGTGCAGCAGGGCCACTGGGTTGAGACCCCTGGTGGGCCCTGGAGGGGTTCTATCAGCGTGGTTGGTGAGTGCCAGCGGGTCGGGGAGCTGGGGGAGGTAGTAGGTTACTCTGGGGCTCCCGGGAGGCCAGTGTGGATGGCACTGCACTGAAGCAAATGGTCCTGGGGACGCATGTCCCTGGGAGAAAGGAGGAAGCTGCTGCTCTGGACATTGGTCGTCATCTGGGGGTTCCTGTTCTGAAGGATCCAAGGCTGACAGTGGCTCCAAGAAACGCTCATTTAGAGGACAGAGGGGAGCGAGTCCTGGCAGGGGCTCGGGGGTGGCAGGGAGGTGGACATAGGAGTCAGTCCACAAAGTGGGGCTGCCAGCTCCTCTTGGTTGAGTGACAAGTGTGGCCTGGACATTGTGGGAGGAGGGCTGTTCGCTCACTTCCTCCCGAGATCCAGGGCGAGGCGGACAAGTAAACGACTCTTCTCATGGACTTCCCAAATCGGATTACTACTTCGGATTCCCAAATTTTTTTTTTAAATTTATTATTTTTGTGTGTACCATCAAATTGGATCTGACTGGTACAGGAGGAGATTGTCCCTCCTTCTCCAGCAAAGCAACTGGTGGATTCAAACTGCTCACCTTTGGGATTGCAGTGCACGGATTCCCATTTCTAAGCTTGGGCGCCCTGGTGGTGCTGATTAAACACTAGGCCGCTAACCAAAAGGGTGGTGGTTCAAACCCAGCAGCTGCTCCAAAGGAGAAAGGGAGGGCAGTCTCGCTACCGTAAAGCTTCACAGCCTTGGACACCATGTGGGGCCGGCCTGCTCTGTCCGTCAGGCTCTCTGTGAGGTGGATTCAGATCCACACAAACAGGCTTGGGTGTTTAGGTCACTGTGAACTGGACGCCTGGGTGCTACTGATGCATAAATGTTGGGCAATTGTAACTGAAAAGCTGCCAATGCCAGGCCCACCTGTGGGTCGTGCATGAGGGGCCTGGTGATCTCCATCTGAAAGGTCCCAGCCTAGAAACCCAAAGGAGTAGGTCCTCTCTGAACACACGCAGCTGCCACAGGCCAGAATTGATTCTATGGGAACTGGGTTACCCCTAACAAAAACAAAATCCCTCCGTCCAAAGGGTACATGGGAAAGAGACTATTCTCCAGCTGGAGGCACATGTTTCACATCCCAGCAACGCTCAGTACCAGGAGAGGAGTGAGTAACCAGCCTGCTGACGCGGGACAGGAGATGGGTGGATACACTCAGTCTAAAAGTGTCTTTCTCAGCACCTCTCGAACTTTCCAGGATCTGTGTGCAAGAGGAATAGAGATCTTCTCCAGGTGTATTACTGACACTGTGTTATTACTGGGCAATTGCAGAAGGCCTGAGGGAAGCCTTTGCGGTCTCAGGGTGTCAGTGGTGCCCAGGCAGGTGGGTCCCCAGGTGCTCTCAATGCTGGAAGGATCACCAATGACGCCTGGTCATGTGTCTGGCTGACGAAACACAGCCTTGTGACTCTAGGATTTAATGATTAACACTGGACACTGTAGGTTCTTTCTAACTGAGAACCTGGACCCACAGTTCTCAGCTCTTACATTTGTTTGGGGGGGGCAGCATCAACCTTGGGTCAGCCCTGTGCTCCCCCCATCAGCTCAGCTCTGAGATCCAAGTCCAGGAGAAAGTAATGTCCCACTGGATTGCTGCCCTATCCCCTCTCCTGCCTCTCTGCTTCTACTTGTTGCACCCAGAAAGAAATGCCATCTGCTGAGTCCCTTGAGGTCCCCAGATTTCCCAATTCTAAACAGAAACATCGTAAGGTGAAGACACAAGCCTGACGCTGCTCTCTCTGGACCAGGTTATAGCTACTTCTCTCACTCCCTGGAGCCCCTCCACCCCACATGTAAACACATCGTCCCCAGCACCTGCTCACCAAGTTAGTTCCCATGTCCACAAGACACAACGTAAACATCCCAGGTGCAGAGAACAGGGATTATATTATTACAAAATAGATTAGTTTCTCTTCCCCGTCTCTACTGAGGTCATGAATACAACAGAAAACAAACAAACAAACAAACAAAAAACCTAAACAAACCAGGACCAGAACTCACACAAAAACAAAATGCTCTTTGGGCCGAGAAGTGAAAACTGGCTCAGAAGAAGAGGATTACTAAAACATCTGGGCTGACCACGGCGGACTCGACAGTTGAGGCACCTGATGAGAACAAGGAAAATTCCACACCCGTGAGAAACCCCTCAGACCACGAGGCAGCAAGATGACGCTTCCACGACACACGTGGGAATTCTTAGGCATAGCTTGAGGTCATTATAGTCCCCTTAGTTTTGTGTCTTATGAACTGTTCTGGTCTTTCCAATGTCACAGGCCGCCTACCAGCCCTGAGCAGAAAAGAAAGCTGGTCCAGCTTAGGGCCAGGAGACGTACATGACAGTGTCCCTGCACAAGGACTCGGACCCTCACACTCCAAGAGGGCAATCTGTCCTGCCCAGACCCCCGCCTCTGTGTGTGTGTGTGTGTGTGTGTGTGTGTGTGAGTGTTTGAAGGGGGTAGTGAGCTCCACTCTCTCAGAGGGGCAGGGGCCACATTTCAGCCGGGAACTGACCTCATAAGACCAGGCTGGCCAGCCTTCACACCACCCAGCTGCCAGGGCGTGGCCCTCCCTCTCCTGCCCCGAGAGGCCGTGCGGGTGGTCCAGGGGCCCTCTGGAGCGGGGAGCAGTCTCAGATTATTTTATTGATGTTGGTAGTGGAGGGAAGGGGATGGGATGATAGACAAGTACAGCTCTCTGTGTGTGTGTGTGTGTGTGTGGGAGAGAGAGAGAGAGAGAGAGAGAGAGAGAGAGCGCGATCTATGGAACCTGCAAGCTCATCCAGTGGCTGCCGACCTCAGGACAAGTCGGGCTCTGGACCCCTGTGAACCACCAAGCTCCCAGCAAGGCCACACCATCCTTGAGCAAGGCAGTTCCCCTTTCTGGTCCTCTGGGGCGAGGAGGCCCACCTTACTGAAAACACAAGTATGCTGGAACTAAAACTAGCTATAGAAGGGGTATAAGATTGGCTCAGAAATTCTGGGTGGAGCCTGTGCCGATACACCGTGGGTGATACACCCCGTCCCGTCCCTCTCATCTCCCCACGTGTCCAGCGGAGGGGTGCGGAGCCCAGCAGCTGAGTTTGAGGCACCACCAAGGAAGCTTCATCACCAGGGTCTGCACTTCTGGGAAAGGACGATGCCCTGCCCGGCAGTGACAGCCCTCCCTGGGGATCCCTGCTCCCCCAACCCAAGTCCTGCAGGTGGGTCCTGGGCTGACTGGGGCAGCTCTCCGTCGCCAAGCAAGTACACACAAAATGTCCCTGGATTTTAAAAAAAACCAAACCCAAAACAAAACAAAACTGAAGAGAGACAGAGAGCGAAGAGGGGCTTGCAGAGTCTCCTCTTCCTGTGCACAACCAGACGCTGAGCGAGAGAGGGAAATGTCTCAGTGGACACACAGATGCAGCACTAGACACACAACCACGAGCGAGGAGGCTCCTCCATGCAAGCCGCGGGGCGCGGGCTCAGATGTAAACCGGCTGCTCCTGGGCCGTCAGCAGCCGGTACATGGCGGCTGGCATCGTCTTCATGTGGATCTGGGGGCAGAGAACACACATGAGCAGGGGGCATGGCTCTGGGGAGAGGAGGCTGGGGAAACAGAGGCACCTCACAGAAAAGCCAGCGGCCCTGACTCCGACGAGGCCGCGGGTGTCAGAAAAAAGCTGTGCTCCACTGGGTTTCAAAGGCTGAGCTACGAACATCTGCTTTGAGTCGTGGCTCTGGCTTCTTTAGGGTATAATCCCAGCAGTGCCACTGCTGGGTCAAATGCTATTTATAACTTTTTGAGAAGGCACCAGACTGGTTTCCATAGTGGTTGTACCATTTTACATTTCCACCAGCTAGGAATAAGAGTTCTAATCTCTCCACAACCTTGCCAGCATGCGTTGTCTGCTGGCCTGCTGAACTTCAGATGAACGGATAGAAAAACTATGGTACATTCATGCAAAAGAATATCACGCGGCATTGAAAAACAAGAAACTTGTAAAACATCACACAACATGGGAAAGCCTGGAGAACATTATACTGAGAGAATTATCTCAGTTACAAAAGGACAAATACTGCCTAACACTGCTGTTATAAAACTGGACAGACATGGGGGGCTGGGGCGAGAATGGGAAAAGAGTGGACAGATAGATAATGAACACTGCAGTAGAACAGACGAGAGGAAGAACTGTTTAAAAGGAACATATGAGTAGGTATTATGTGTATGACAATCTGAAGTAAGAGATGTATTTCAAAGTGGACTAGGGGAGAGGGAGGGAAGAAAATGTGCAACAAAAAAATAAAATAAAACACTCCAGGGCTTTCCAAAAAGTTAGGAGTGACAGAAAAGAAACACCTAAATGACCAGAGGCTATGCAGAGGCTCCTGTTCCTGGTCAGTGTTGTTATTTCCACTAGGCTGTAAAAAAGCAGAGGACACTAAAAATGGGAGGGCAGGGAGTCTGGGGTTGTCACTGCTCCTCACTGGCCACCTCTCCTGGAAGGTGCAGTGACAACAGAACATCTGCCCTCAACTTAGTTACAACGAACCAAGCGGGCATGCTGGGGCACACCTATGCTGGGAGACACTGGTGGTCTGCCTTGTAGACCACAGCTGGGTCTATTCTAAAATCTCATAGGTTCATTTGATGAGACTAACTGGGAGTAACGGAACTGCTCGAGGACCCAGAGAGAAAAGGAACGATAAACCTGTGCGCTGAAAAGAGAAGGTGAACAAATAAAATCAGAGACAAGGGCACTTTCTTCTGCTTTCATGCAGGAGCCTCAGACCATCATTTATTTTTCAAGGAAATGGGCTTAAAACTGGTCAAAGACAGATGGTTCTGCACCCTGAGGAACGTGTGGTCCCCAAACCATCAATGAGCTTCGTGAAAGGTTCAAGGTTTCAGTCAGTCCAGAGCAGCCTTGGAGGAAAAAACTGTCACTTTATTTCAGAAAAGCTTGTTACTTTGGTTCCGAAAAATTAGTCACGGAAAACTCTATGAAGCCAAATGAGTCGCTGGGACTGGGAGCTCAGGACCACCGTCTGGGGAGATAGCAAGTCAACTGGCAAAACAGCGCCTACAGAGACGATAGTCTACATGCTACTGTGGTGAGCAGAGGCTGAAGTCTCCAAAGCTTACAAGTGGCCATCCAGAGTGTAACGACTGGTCTTCCCTCCACCTTCCCATGCAAAACCGAGAAGAAAGAAGGAAAGATTACTTAGTCCTAAAGCCCAGGGGCTTACATGACCTTTAGTCTCCACCACATCGAGAGCAGCAGGACTAGAAGGTGTCCAGCTACGGCTACCGGTTGCTCTAAAGGGGATCCTACACAGAAGGTCCTGACAGAATGGGAGAGGAAACGTGGAACACATTAAAAAATCCCAACATTTTCTATCAGGCGTGCTGGTGTGACAGAGACTGTGGAAGCCCCGGAGCCTCTCTGGCTGTTAGTTTTTGGGCCTCGAATAAAACTCCTCTCCGACTCAGTTTCCAGCCAAACAGTAGAAGATGATCAATAACACTGGGAGAAAGGCATTCCCGAGAATAGTAAACGTCCAGGATCAGAAAGTTGGCACTGCCCAGAGGGCAGGAATGGGGAAGAACGGAAACTGTGCTTTTGTAGCTTGGGTATTATAACCAATGTCACCAAAAGTGTATGAACTGTTGGGTGGAAAGCCAGTTTACACTGTAAACTTTTACTTAAATCACAATTAAAAGTTGCATGAGGGGCAAAAAAGAAGATGTAGGCTCAGGTTTGTCATTCATAGGGTCTCTATGAGCCACTGTCAACTTGATGGCCTTTAAATGGTGGTGCTAGAGAAGAGTACTGAATGTCCCAAGGACTTTCAAAAGGAACAAAGAAGTCTGTCTTGCCAGAAGAGTAACCAAAGTGCTCCTTAGAGGTGAGGATGGTGAAACGAGGTCTCACATACTTGGGCTTGTTGTCAGGAGGGTCTAGTCCTTGGAAAAGGGCATCATGCTGGAAAAGAGGGAGGGTCAGAGGAAGAGAGGACGATCTTCAAGGAGATGAAATGACACAGCCACTATCCCAATGGATGTGAAAAGATCATAGTTTACGAGGCCGGCACAGGATAGGGCTTGGCTCTGAACTGCTGTTCACAGGGTCACTTTGAGTCGTGGTCAGCCTGATGGCCCCTAACTGCGGCAGGGAGCATGGTCCCCCAACACACAGGACAGGCATGAGTCAGGGCCATCCTGAAGAAAGCTGGTTGGTCAGACTCTGTAAGGTCTAGGGTACCTGGAAGGCCTCCCCCGAGCTCTGGGTCCCACTCCTACCTCCCCAACAGCATTGGAAAGGATGTGGACGATCTTCTCGTGCGGGGTGGCGACAACACTCTGTCCGTTGATTTCGATGATCCGGTGTCCCACGCGGATGCCGCCCCGCTCGGCTATCCCTCCACGCATGAGGCTGCAGATCTGTGGAGACACGGCCTCATTACCCCCCTGGCCAGCGCCTCCTTTACACTCCAGCAAACTAAACTCTGAGAAGCCGACATGGCTTTTTCCCCTTTGGAAATCTGCATCTCCTTCTTCCCCTTCCCAGGAGAGGTGAGTGCTTCACGTTGGGAACGCAGCACATGGCGGTTTCAAGGGGCCTTTCTCCCTGGTGTTCGCCTCCCCGGTGGGTCCTGGTGAGAAGCGCTGTTTCACGGTCACGGGTCCGCCATGCAAACTGTGTGGTGCAGGTTAGGATTCTCTCCCAGAGCCATGGCTAGAGTCATTCAATAAGCTGTCTCAGGCCAACAACCTGGCCTGGTTTTCTGGCTCACAATTTCCTGAGCTACAGAGAGGGCTGGCACCAGGGTGGCTGGAAGGGAGATGCCCCCTTGGCCTTCCCTACTCGTGGGCACATGTACACCTCACAGAAACATCGCCACAGCGGCTCCTGATATAGAGTAGCCAGCAGGGGCCTGGGGCTGGGGTGAAGTTGAGGGGATGATGGGGGGGACTGCAGGCTGGTGTCAAAACCAAGTCTTTCAGGCCAGGCAGGAGGCTCAGCTCATGCAGGGAATGGCCGTCTCCATCTCACAAAATGAGCCAGTCATATTTTCCTAAAAGCACATTATTTGGAATTACAACACCGACTTTTCACTCCACAATGTGCATCTTTATTTAAATACCTCTGCTGACATGGTATCTGAGAGTGGTGGCCCCTTCAGTAGCTCAGGGACTTTGGGGTCAAAGCCCCACTTTAGCCAAGGCTCTCCAGTGAACTCACACCTGTCCTAGAATGACTCAGCGAAGAGTTGAACTTTCATTATTATTCAGGTATAAACAAATCAGACAAGGAAGCATAAACAGACAAATACTTTGTCAGCTGAAAGCTACCGCGCGTCACTCAGGGCGCTCACTCTCAGTAAAAGAGCTGAGCTACACGCAGCACGTGAGAAGGGGCTGTGTGCTGCTACCCTGCACCCGGGATGTTCAGGGTAATTCTAAAACAGAAAATGTACTTCAACCTCCTTGACCCAGAAGGGGAGGAGAAAAATAGGTATTTTTTTGACTGGAAAGATGAATACAGAGAAAGCAGCAGTGGGTATACTCAAAATTGATCAGGTAGGCCCTGGGGAGTGACTGGATCAGCAAAGTCCAGATGTACAGAGTTCCAGGTAAATTAAAACAACAACAAACAACAAACAACAAAACCACCCCAAACAAATCACACCCAAACAAAAACCACACCAAGAACCCTGTATTGCGGCCCAGTCACAACTAACTCATAGCTGACCCTCCAGTGGGTTTCCAGAGGCTGTAAGTTACATGGGAGGTGACTCCATCTTTCCCCCCGGAGCTGCTGGTAGATTCGAACTTCCAGAGAGGTGCTGCCTTTCCGTTAGCAGCACAGCACCCTATGGACTATGCCATCAGCACTCCCTGGAGCCAGTGAAGGCAGGACAGAACAGAAACATTTTACAAAGCAGACTGGTGAAAATTCTTGATCCTGAAAGTGTTATCTCCAGGTTAAAAGGGCAAACTAATTGGCTAAGCGGACAGCGCAGGAATGCTCCACTATAACAGTGGTTCCCAACCTGGGGCTCGAATGCGGACGTTAAGAATATGCAGTGCTATCTCTGAATCCCCAGACTGGACAGATACGGGAGAAACCTGGCAGCCAAGAAAAACACAGTGTGTTCCATTAAAATAAGGGATAGGAAAGTGGTGAGTGTGCGCCCTGCCAGAGGCAGAAGGCATTCTGGCCTGGCTCCAGCTCCCACAGTTTCCCTGTGCTGGGCCCTTCTTTCCCAACTTCTGGCCGTTTGCTATTTCACAGTTGATCTCCTTGAACAAGTGAGGAGGAGCAAGGGGGGAAAGTAGGACCACACCCCCAATTAAAAACCAAACCCACGGGGTGGTGTTGATGAGGCTGACAGAAACAACCAATGTATCAACTCCAAGGCGTTCTCCAAGCACCTGGGAGTTAAGACACTCCTGGGCAGTTGTGGGGTCTCCTGTGCAGCCAGGGGCACCTTTTATGGGACCAAACCAAAGCTGGTTACTGGCAGGACCACCTGAACACTGGGCTCTGTACGTCATGGTTCCAGGAGAGCACGTGTCCTCTCCCGGGGACGGACATAGAACTCTCTACCAGAGAGAACGGCCCATAGCGGACGATGAGCACTGACTAACACAAATGAAAAGGAAAAGAGCAACACAGCCACACCCTGGTACCTTCTCATCTGTCAGAGTGTTGGGGAGAGTAGAGTACGCAGTACTTACGATTCCGTTCTGGACACTGAACCCCAGCTGGTAGCGCAGGTCCGGTCTCCGGATCAGCACGGTGGTGACGGGAGGACACCGCACGATGTTCAGCTTGACGCGGGACTGGTTCTTCAAGCCCTTTAAAGTCAAGACAATGCAGTGAATGCGGGTGTGTCCTTGGCTGGCTGGTGGAGCCAACACATGCAGGCTACAACTCAGAGGAAAGCACCAGAGTCCTCCCACCGCAAACCACTGCGCCTGGCCAGGGTGACTCCCTGCTGGACGCCACTGACCCAGGAAGGTAACCGAGTGATCAAGAGAAAGCCCTTTCCCTCCATCCAGACACCTGTTCTGTGAGGGTAACTGCTTCATTTCCAGGAACAGGCTGTGTTTGAGGGGCTTGCTAAAACACTGGGCTTCTGTGTGTCTATGAGGCCTAGCGTCACATGCACTACTGAGCTTGAGACATGAACGCTGTGTGGAACTCCTTCAGGGCTGAACAGAGGTAAGAGTGGGAGAGGGGCTTTGTCTCTGAAAGACCAATTCTAGTGATTACCCCTCTTGTAACAAAGGGCGAGTCATTCCCAGCAATATGCCAGTTCATCAGAGGCCTATCTCCCCAGCCTGCCAGTCTGTGGTCATGCCTTCTTTCCCATTCCATCTACCATTCAGTATCATCAACATCTCCACCAGGATTGGGGGAAGCAGGAAAAAGAGGCAGCCCTACACTTGGCTTATTCCTCTCTGATAAGTAGTATGAGGAAACCCAATGCCATTGAGCAGGCTCCCCAGATGTGTCAGCATACAGCTGTGCCCCTCAGGCTTTCCAGGACTGGATCTTGGATCAGAAGCTGACCTTCTGAGGCTCCTCGGAAAGGGGTCATGGGGTACAGTCCACTCTGATACACATGGGGTGCTGTGAGTTGGGAGATGACTAGATACCACTGGTTCTATTTTCCCTAGGGCTGTCTGGCTTTACCAGCCTGTAGAGACCAGTGGCTTCCAGACCAGCAGCACCCAGGAACTCATGAGCAGTGAGAATTCTGGCCCCACCCTCACCTACTGAGTCAGAAGCCCCAGGAGTGGGCCCAGCAGTTTGTGTGTAAGTAGGTCTTGTAGGGGATTCTGATGTGTACCTTTCACTGTGAGAACAGCAAGTGTGGGCTACTGCAGAGCACTCAAGTCACCTGCTGCCTTAATTCTTCCAAAAGATGCTGAGGCTCAGAGGGATACACTCACTGTTCACCCTGGGGCCACTGCATTCCATGAACTCAGGGGCTAGTAAGGTGGACACAGGGGTGACGGTGGGCTGTGGGCTTAGTCATCGCACAGCCTGATCCAGCCACCCACCTCCATGTGGGTACCCTGTGCGAGCTCCCGGGGACCCTGTCACATCAGGACCCCTCCTGCTGTGGAATGCACCTGCATCACAATGCTAACTCCTGCCTCATCTGACACCACCCTGGAGATGGACCTTCAAGAGCCATCTTGCTAACTTCCCCCAACAAACTGAGCACTCTAATTATCTCCATTTAGAGAAGTAGAAACTAAGGCCCAGAAATACTAAGACATTTGCCAAGTTCACCCACAGTGAGATTCAATCAGGACTGTCTGTATTCAAAACCCACCATTTTTCCTCACATCACAGTGTGACACTCGTTGTATGACATGAGGAGCACAGATATCAGGGACAACAGCTGGCCTTTCATTCTAACCTTGAACTTGGACCCTACTTCAAGTTCACTTTCTCCTATGTCAATCTCTTCAGGTTCCTGTCCTCATAATATTCCCTCTTGCACCCTTGGCTTTGCTACTGTTTTTTTATTGATTCCAGCAGTACTCTCAATGGCAGCGATTGGATAGGACACAACGTGTTGCACTGGAGAGCTCTGCTCTGCTGTCAGGGATCACTTTAAAGTGCTAAAGAGCAAGGATGTCAGCTTAAAGACGAAGGTGTACCTGATGCAATGCAAGCTATGGTATTTCCTGTTGCTTCCTATGCATCTTTAAGTTGGACAATGACTAAGAAAGAGCAAAAAAGAACGAATACCTTTGAGGTGTAGTGTTGGTCAAGAGTACTGAACATACAATGGACTGCCAGATGAACAAAGAAATCCATCTTGGAGGAATTACAGTCAGAGTGCTCCTTCAGAGGTGAGGAGGGTGAAATTTCACCTTACACACTGTGGGCGTGTTATCAGGAGGGGCCAGTGCTTGGGAAGATACATTATACTGGGGAAGGTGAAGGGTTGGCCAAAGAGAGGATGACCCGCAAAGAGATGGACTGCCCCAGGGCCTGCAATGACATGCCTGAGCATGAAGGAGGTCGTGAGAATGTCACAGGACAGGGCAAGGGCCAGACCTGCTGTTCACAGGATCACTCTGTGCTGTAGTAGACTTGATGGCGCCTAATAAGAATTTAATTCACAAGGGAGCTCTGGTGGCCTTGTGGCAAGAAGTTGTACTGAAACCCCAGAGGTAGGCAGTTCAAATACACCATATGCTCTGCTGGAGAAGGAGGAGACAATCTCCTCCAATACCAGTCAGATCTGATTTGACCGTACACACACAAAATAATAAAATAAAATAAAAATTAATTCACATGGTTCAATTTCATTAAGACACTGTGGTTCCACAGTGGATCTTTCGCCCTTATACAGGAGATCAGGATTCCAACGCAAGACACCCAACCACCCACCACCTGTTTGTCAGTGGGGGCTTGTGTGTTGAACACGAGTCACTGGACCTTCCAGACTAAGATGGACCAGCAGTAAAAGCCTAGAGATCGCCATGCAAAAATCACCCAGTGGAAACCATGTGTGTCAGATGATCTCATTCGCAGTCTGACACGGGGACAGGCCAGGACTGGTCATGTGCGGGGTTATCATGAGCTGGGAGGAGACTCGAGGGCAGTTAGCAGCAGCAGCAGCAGCTCTCAGTGCTCTCTTCTCTCAGTGCTCACTGCTTGGTTTTCTGGGTACAATGAGCCCCCGGTGGCTGTAAGCTAGTTTGCAGTGGTCTCACTTCCTCACGGCATGTGGGCAGTGCTGGCTCACTCAGCAAGACAAGCACGGGTTTGCCTGCATTCTTGTTCTAATATGTAGCAAAACAATGTCACAGTGCTTTCCTCACATTAAAGATGGCTTCTGAATATGACTGGCATCTATCTCTCCTAACCTCATGCCACTTTTCTACCAAATCAAATCAAAGCCTCTTTTCAAATTGACAATCTCTGACAGGCACGGAACGCCCGGTAAGCAGGGTAAACACGGGATTATCAGAGCTTCCTTGCTAATCTGTGGTGAGCAATTTCTGCAGATTATAAATCAACACAAGCACGCCTTTGCTCCGCTTGCCGAGGATTCCACGCCTGGGTGAGGGATGCATGCTCAACCAGGGCACACTCTCCCCGGCATTCTGGAATATATATCTCTGCAGACCTTCCCAGTTTAAGGAAATGATGTGGAGAAATGCATGAGCTGAGCTGTGATTCTCACTGGATAAATGAACATGTGCAAAGACTTGGCCCTTCCCCACCAGAGCGCGTGCCATCACCCACACCACCAACGGCACACGGTCTGGTTTTCTGCTTCTAACAGCAGCATGGGTCAGTGACGAGGAATCTGTTTGATTCGGGAGATGTGGGTTTGAGCTCTGTTCCGCCACCACAGCTGTGGGGTCTTGGCACTCTGCTCCACCTTGCGTCCCCTCAGTGTCTTCATTTCAAAACAGATAAATTGTTAAACTCATTACCCTCTCTTCCAGTTCTATCCTTCTATGATTTTAACACTCTTTATATTTTTCTCATTAAATCTCTTTTGAAACACCAAATCACAATCACCATTTTAAAAAAACACTTCTTTCTAAAATTAAAAAAGTGTATGACTGTTTGAGTAGTGTGGACATAATTCATGCTTATATTTTCCTTTCCTTTCAGTGTTCCCCCTCATGCTCATTTAATCAAGACATTTTTTGTGTCAAGAAACACTGTTCAAGGTTGGCAGCTTTACCAAAATCACCCCCGACTTACGTCCCAAGCACGATGGGACTGGACAGTTCTGATCTGATTTCACTGACTGAATTTTGGGGGTTTTGGTCCCCGTCAACAAGGCCACCAGAGCTCCCCTACTGGCTCAATTCTTGGAAGGAGATTGTCAGTCCGTTTCACTTAGTCTGTCAGCTCTGTTGAAACCTAAGCATCATCTAAAAATACTGACACAACAACAACAAAAACAAAAACCACACCCTGAACTCACTGCCACCAAGTTAGAACTGACTCACAGCTGACTCTCAGTGGGCTTTTAGAGGCTGTAAATGGCAAGAGAGGTGACTGCCCATCTTTCTCCTACACACCAGGTAGCAGATCTGAACAGCCTCCTGTTGGGTTGGCAGCACAATTCCTTGCCCACTAGGCTATCCAAGTTCACGAAGCATAATGGTGGCAAACAAGTCTATACTGATGGATGCATAGTTGCTGTGCAAGAGGTACATGGGCTGAGAAGCACACTGGCGTCATCTGGCCTCAGGGATCTCGTGAAGGCTGGACAAGAGTGTGCCACATGGTAAGTGGTGGTGGGGGGCAGCGGGGCACATGGCTGGGCAGTAGCCCTGAACTGGAGCCCCTGTGCCCCTCTCTATAATAATATAACATGAGAGTAGGAATCTGTGAAAAATCAGGCTCACCATGCTGCAGATGGAGGGCACACATGGTTAGATCCCTCCCGACTTCCACCTGCTTTAACAGCTACACTTTTCAACACAGGCTGACTTAGCCATGCTGGTTTGCTACAGAACCACCTTAGAGGGCACCTCCTAGAAAGGCAGAGGGACTGAACTCTATTTCCTCAATGGTGGTTGAAAAGTCACATTGCACCGGTGGGCCCGTTCCTTTTATGTGAATTGATTTAAGATGCTTGATTTATCCCTCAGTGAGAGAATTTCTAGATTGGGGTAAATGTGCTGCAAGAAGAGGCTTCGAGAAATCACAATTTGAAATAACCAGACCATGCATCTGTGCTGCCATTCCTAATCAGTGTTTCAAGTTGGGTCCCATTAACTTGGCTCTCTAAGTTGCCATTTTATTTGAGGTGCCAATTAGATAAACGGTCATCTTGTCCCCATGACAACAGTGGAATGGT